TAAAAATAATTTGAAAGTTTGTGTTGAAAATTTAAACTTGATAGGACAGGAAGAAGCTGCAAAATATTAAACAGACAAAAACTAGTCCAACCCCCCTTTTTAAAAATGAAAAAACTGAGCACAGACTTAAACAGCTCAGATAGCTAATTAATGGTAAAGCTGGAAAGTCCCAAGTCTGCCAAAAATAACTGACACTCTTAACATTCAAAAATAATTTCTATTCAAAATACATGCATAATAGATTTTATACCTCAGTATCGGGATAATTTATGTGATGTGGACTGCTGGTGTCCGGCATGCCTTCTACCTGTAAACTGAGGCCAGAATGATGGAATGCTATAAAATGAGCTCCTGCTTGTAGTACACTAGTTGAAAAGATGTTTATAATGCTTTTGTATTTGCTGCCATCTAGCTAAAATATATAGGTTATTATAATCTTCGAACCTGAAAATCAAGTACTACAGCTAATAGAAACTCTTATTACTTACTTGTATATGTCATTAGTGTCTTAATGAATCCTAAAATCTACATTTGCTTCTTTTAAAATATTTATTAATATAAATGAAATGTAACACTTCAACTTAATTCCCCAACTTTATTTTGTGTGTTGATAATTGTGTTTCATGATTTGAATGACTGGTGTATCTCTCAATAAATGAATTTCGAAAGTGTATGATGGTGTACTCATTTTTTTTTTTTTAATTGGAGGATTGCGGGAGGGGAACAACGTTGGGGAATCGGGGAAGGGGAACAGACAAGTTACTGTCCTTTTTGTTCTTCAGTCTAGTTGTGGAGGATGTCGCTTCTCTGGCCCATGTTGGTATCATTATTGTGCTCTTCCCGGGAGAGGTAGCTGCTCGCCGGCCATTGGACAGTCGCTCATGGCGGCTCACGAAAGCTCACGCCCGCTGCTGGCCAGCCCCACGGCAGCCTATACTATTGCCGGTTCCAAGTCGAACTGCCATTCACCATCTTAGCTATAGAGGGCACAGTGTCACTGGCCCTCATGTGGGATATGAACCGGGGCCCTGATGCTCAGAGCTGGCGTCCCAAGCCAACTCCCAACCAATGCGCCACTCACCCGGACCTACTAATCCTTTATCAACTCAAATTTAGATGGCTGTAATACACAGACATGCTTTCC